AATTAAAAAAAAAAAAAAAAAAAAAGAGATGAGTCCCCTGGAGCTTACCCTTTTCTCCTCCTGCATTAACATGAGGAAGGCTGAGGTGAACAAATCTCCACTCAAGTAGAAACAGAGAAGCAGAAGGAATAGCTCTCTGGAAATTATGGGTTTCCTATCAAGTGGGTAGAGAAGAATTATTCTTCTCTAGTCTTTCTGACTCCAGGGAAGAATAAACCAGAGATGGGAACTGAGAGGAAACTTAGAGCAATCAATTTCTACTTGCCTTTACTCATCTTTTCCTATCCTGGGCTGGTGAAGTGGGTGTGATCAAGCTAGAGAGGAAAGCAGTCACAAACACAAAAACAGACAATGAAGTGATGTAAGTAGGCTGGGCAAGGAAGCATGAATTGCACCAAGGTTCATACATCCATAAGCACGCTTGGTTTTATGTCTATATGCTTTATGATACAGTGTAAAACAGGAAGCAGATATTTTGCTAAGGCCTGTGGGTGGAGGCTGAAGTCCACTGATAATCCTGTCATCTCATAATCAAGTGGAAAACATTCCAGAGCTCAGGATTTGGAGTCAGAAGACCTAGGAGAATATCCTGAATGTGTGTCACTATCTACTTTGTTGTACTGGGCATGGTACTTAACTTTTTGGACTTGACATAGTTATCTATAAAATGAGTATAATTTGGAGGCTTAAATGAATGCATCTTGCACATGAATGGTGTTAATTCAGTCTAAATTTTAATCAACTTTGGAAAAGCAAACAGCAAACTTGCTGTAGAATAAATGGCTGCAAACTACAGTAAATTCTTAGCTCTGCATTTTCAGTGAAAGAATTTGGCTCCTAATGTCCTAGAAAGCCATTATTTTGACATTTTGTTTAAGGCTGGTTCCAAATTTGACTCACTTATTTTAGGCAGGAATGTTTTCAAAAGACCTAAGTGATATTATTAACAAATGGGTTACATCTTCTCTTCACAGAGTTAAGCCTCTAATTATATGTTGAGCTGATTTATTGGTACTACAGGCTTAAACATTTCCTAACTGTTAAGACTGACTAGAGACACAGGATAACTGTCCACACGCAAGGGATCTGAAAGGCAAAAACACCACAGAGGAAGAGGTGATACCTGGTAGATGAGTCACAAGGAACAGCTCAGAGAAAGGTATTAATTAGGGTAATAGGAAATCATAACAAGTAAAATATGGGTTAAGTATCACTGAATTTCCCTTAAGGACATACTTTCTATGATAGTAGGGAAAGCCTTCTAAAGGAGATGATTAAAGCTTCCAAGTTTAAGACCTTTAAAACTAGACTGAACAGACTCCTCACAAACATACCAGAAAGAAGAATCCTACCCTAGTTGGGGGAGGGGAGTGATAGGTGATCTAATACTTTTTTGCATTGTTACAGGCTTTGAGTCGCTTATCTACCCAGTAACTTAATGCATTGTAAACTGTTTGGTAAGTACACACTTCTCTCCCTTGAGAATAGAGCTGTCATATCTATGGGTACTATTTTGGGGGGGCAAAACTTTAAATATAACTAATAAAAATGATAGCTACTTCCATTTTTAAGATCTGATCTATATATTTTGGTCATTTAGTCCAGCAAAGGGAAGTTTTTTTCTCAAGATATGAAAATTTTAATTAGGGCTGAGGATTTAGCTTAGTGGCACCATGCCTGCCTTGCAAGTACTAGGTTCTGAGTTTGGTCCCTGGTTCTGCAAAAAATATAAATAAAGAAAATAAAATATTAATTAAAGCCCTGAAAGAGAAAATAACATTTTTAAAATGCAAAGCTATCTTTAACTTTTTTGAACCTAATTCTTTAGTTTCTGACTTAATAGAACATTATTAGTTTGGCTTCGTCAAATGAGTAGTGGTGAATTGTATCTCTTAGAAACCCCGTCATTGGATGTGGTAGAAAAGGAAATTGTTAGGACTATCAGTATTCTAAACTCAATAAAGAGGGAACACAGAAAAGCGCATAGTGTTACCTTCAGTGATTTTGTACCCCACTTATAGTTAACAACTGGGCTGATCTGGATCTCTGATAATATAAACCGTAGTGCTCCCTTAAGCCTCAATCTTCTTTGAATCTGTCCTAACTTATAAGCAGGATAGGTGACCATCTTACTTGTCTGCTTGGTGATACCTGAAACAGGTATCATTACTTAATTAGCATCAAGGTGATACTGTTCCTGTTCTACCTGTTTATCCTGACCTTTCCTACTTTAACTTTCCCACCTCTCTCCTACTCACTCAAGCTCCCTGCATTAAAGAACTGGTTTAGTATTTGTGAAATTTCTCATGTGTTCTTTGTCATGGAAGTATCTTATTTCCCCATCAGTTTTGAAAACAGTTTTGCAGGATACATCAGTCTAGGTTGGAGGTTGTTTTCCTCTAGGGCTTGAAATACCTCACCCCAGGCTCTCCTTGACTTGAGGGCTTGTGTTAAAAAGTCTGCTGATTCTGATGGGCTTTCCTTTGCATGTGATTTGTTTCTTTGCTCTAACTGCTTGTAGTATTTTGTTCTTCTGTTAGGTTTCCAGGGTCTTGATTATTATATCTCTAGGTGTAGATTTTTTTCATCATGGCTATTTGGAGCCCTATATGCCTCACTTATTTATATTGTCAAATTCTTTTGCACTGTTTGTGAAGTTTTCTGTCATTAATTCTGTGAACAGTTTTTAATGTCATTTGTACTTTCTCCTGCTATTTCATGGACTCCTATTGGTCTTATAGTACTCTTTGTGTCATCTAGGAGCTGGTGGATTGATTTCTGTTTAAGAGATCTCTCTTTTTATAGTCACTGACCACCATCCTGTCTTCCATGTCTGGTATTCTGTCTTCAAATTGGCTCAGTCTGTTGTATATACTTTCAATACAGTTTTTAATCTCCTGGATATCATTTTGAATCTATTTTATGTATTCCATTTCTTTTTTATGTTGGGCATTCATGGTTTCCATTTCTTTCCTAAGCTCATCTATTTTTTTTAAATCTGTTTCTGTTCTAGAGTCTCCAATCCTGTCTTTCATTCTGCTCACCGTCTCTGTAGTTATCTGGGAAATTATTTCTGTTTTGAATTTTTCTAAAGCCTCATTCATATGTTTTGTTATTTCCTGTGCTATGAGTTCAGGGTGTCCAAGTGGTTAATTATCAGAGTTTTCCACCTCATTTCCCCCAGAATTTGCCTTTAGTGAACTAGAAGTCTCTGTTTGTGCCTTGCTTAAATTTAATTCATTTGTATTTTTGTTCTTGGTACTGTCCATGGTTTAATTCCTGGGTTAATACTTTGATCTTCCAAATACGGCTGGTCTTTAGGGTTTGACTCTCTAATGACTCTGAGGCAATCTCATTTTCATTATACCAGGAAAAACAACTCATTAGATCAATTACAACACCTTAGTCCAAGTGATACAATCAGCAACACAATAGCATGAAGACAGCTTAGAAAATGACAATTTGTGGTAGTTATTAATTTATCACCTTTAACCATCTGATTTAAGTCAAAATTTAGGACCATCCCAAAATATGTTTATAGTGAATAAACTCTTCATTATAACAACTATACCCTTCAGGATGGGGACTTAGAAGGCATTGGAGAGAGAGGGATAGATAGGTAGAAGGATAGGGAAAGGTTAGAAGTGAGGCCAGAGGATACAGGAAGATCACACAAACTCTAGGAAACTGTTGAAGACAAGAAGAAAAGATAGAATGAAAAAGCAAAGTCAAGAATAGAACAACCTAACAGCAACAGGGAAGCTAGAAGCTGTATTCAGTTTCCTATGAAACTAATGACAATCAAGAGAAGGAAAATGAGAGAAGAAAAGAAAAAGAAAGAAGAAATTTGAATTAGGGCAGGAATAGAAACAAAAAGGGAAATGAAGAACAATGTGGGAGAGCAAGAAAGTGAGTGAGAGAAAGAAAAGGGGAAAAAGGAAGAGAAGAAAAAGAGAAAATTTGAAAAAAGTAGAAAAAAATTGAAAATAAGAGGAAAAGAAATAATTTTAAAACTAAAAATGAAGGGCCTCCTTCAGGGCATGTCTGTGCTGTCACAATAGACAACATGGGCAGCCAGGTGTGGATCTAAGTCAAGTAGGCTCAGCAAGCCAGAAGCAGACCCCTGAGATTCAGGCTGATTTCTGGCTGCAAGGCCCAAGGTGAGCTCCCTGACTTCCTGCAAGGTTGAACTCTGCAAGGTTCTGCTGCGGGTTCCAGCTGCCTTCCCCTGCAAACAGCCCAGGTTCAGATGGGAGGTGGTGCTCCCCGAGGGGTGGGGGTGGGGTAGCAGAGCTCCCCTCCTTAGTAGTAGCACTATTTGCACATCTTGACACTTTTCTGTCACATACTTACTTCATTTAATAGCTGCTTTTATTTCATTTTAATCTACTTCCAAATATTCCTAAAATCATCTTTTCTCAACTGCCCTTGTCTGATCCATACTTACCTCTCTCCTCTACTGTTATAACACCCTCCTGTTTTGCTTCTCTTCTTTCAGTCTATTGTCTGCAGGTGATCTTTAACACACTAATGCAGTGGTAGTGAGCCTATGGCATGAGTAGCACAGTGGGATGTTATATTATTGAAAGGTCTAAAAGGTTATTCATGTGAATCTCCTATTTATACTGGTTCTGTGCTTCCCTTATTATGAATTCAGATGCCCTATATACACTATTCTTCTCCAGCTTTATCTCCCTCTTCTTAATGTTTCATGGAATGTGAATCACGGACAGCTCTACAAGCATGCTTGCTCTTTCTTTCCTGTCTCAGCTCCTCTACCTTGACTGCTTTCCACTAATCCTTTGTTGCCTGAATAACACTCATTCATCACACAGACTTACCCATTGACAACTTGTTCTCCACATATCTTTCCATGGTTCTTTAAGACAGGATTAAATTGTGTGTACCTTGTATTCACCTCTTTGTAGCACTATCAGACCAATCTTCCAGAAGGGATTGTAAACCAACACATGATAATAGGCTGAATTCTTTCCATTGTGTTATCTTCAACATTTAGTGCAATGCTAGGACCTAGAAATACTAAGAAAAGTGAACTTCTCCCTAAGAGAATGAATACATTGATTTAATAGCATAAAAGGTAGAAAAGTTAGGGATAATTTTATGGAGCAAAAGTAACTAGCACTGGGGAGATAACAAAGGATTTGAGGTGAGATAAACTACATAAACTAAAGTACAAGATGAGAATGGATGTAAGATACTCCTGAAATGCTACAGACTATGGCCTGTAGCTAGAGTGGAGGATGTACATAACAAAAGGAATGGTCAATTTCTGAAGCCTTTTGGAAGTACTGTCTAGGAGAAACACTTTAAGCATAATTACAGTTGGAAATGATGATCCATTCATGATTTTAGAACAGATTAATAATATGACAAAAGTGATGTTTAGAAGAGTAATCTGAGAAATGTTCACAAGAAACACTGGATAAAGATGATACTATAGTCATAAAAAGCCACTAAGAGGCTGACATGCTATAATATATAAATAAGAGTGTGAAGTTGGATAAAGTGCTGATTCACATATTTGCTCCTTTCTCTCTCACTCCATGCCTTCCAACCCTTTGCTCTGGACTTGACCATCTGATTCAGTTTCATATTGGTGGAGATTACATGAAGAAGAACAAGATAAGCACTTGTGTACTTGTGTGTCTGGGCTGGCTTCTACCATCCCCAAAAGAAAATCATGTCTTAACTGACCTACGGAGAGAAAGAGCTGAAGACCTACTGAGCCAGTCTTCATAGCTAGCCCTGAGCCAACCCATAAACACATGGTGAATGCTGAAGAATTGTTTCAAGTTGCATTCATTTGTCTATGAATGACTCAAGTTTATCTTCCTGTGTGACAGAATAGTACTGCACTGGGGCTGTTTCCAAGATCTAGCTATTACAAACTGTGTTGCAGTAAACATGGGTATGCTTGTATCCCTGCAGTACAATGCTTTGAACTCTTTTGGAAAGATACCTCGAAAGGAGATATCTGGGTCAAAGGAAATTTCCATTTTTAGGGTTTTTTGTTTTTGAGAAATTTCCACACTGATTTAAGTGAAATAACTCAGACACACAAGCTTAAATAGCATATGGTTTCCCTTATATGAGAAACTCAAATATATACGTGTATAAATAAAGAACAAGTTAGAAGACAGAGAAATAGGAAGAAGTTCAGATAATCCCCCAAATTCTCTATTCTGTTTCAAAAGTATTTCAGTAAACAGAGTCCACCAAAAAATGTATATACACTCCAGGAAAAGAAAAATAGCATGATGTTTTTTCAACATATGATGTTACTCTTACATGGGGAACCCTAGAGAATGTCTTACATTGCCTAAAAATCATTACACTGCTGGTCACTAGAAAAGAAAATGAAAATGGATGTGCAGCAATTTCAATGACCAGTGTAAGCCAGGCAGCAGTTTACTATACTAATACATGTCTGTGAGCCAATGGCCACCATTTAGATACCTCTTGTAGTTGTAGAGGCCAAACATAAATTGTATTAATCTCAGGTTGTCTCAATAAATTTAGTAATAAAATGTTTATACAAGTTTTTATTTTCCTGAGACGTGTATTCATTTTTGCCAGATTTTGTACAGGCTAATTTGATTTGTGTGTACTACTAATTTCTCTTAGTTCATTGAAAATAAAGTTTTCTTATTCAGAAAAATATTACTTCAAGTTTGAGTTTTGGAGTGTTTCATATACAGCAATAGTGTTACAGAGAATAAAGGATGGGATAGTGATTGTCTCAGTTACTTTTCTGATTTCTGGAACAAAATACCCAACACTTAAAGTTAGAGGGGAAGGTTTATTTTGGGTCACAGTTTGTGGAGGTTTCAGTCCATAATTGGCTGACTCCAAGGTTGGGTGGCATGGCAGAGGAGAAACAGTTCAGAGCAGGCAGAAGGCAGAAAAAGCAGCAAACATCAACCGATAATAACAGCCCTCTTTCTGTCCCTTATATTCTAATCCAGCTACTGCACGTGTTCACTTGGAGTGGGTATGGCTCACCCCCAGGTTGGGGCAGCCTTAATTCTAGCATCACAACATGAATCAGTCCAAGCATCATATCCTTAAATCCAGTATCACATATTCTAGATCCAGCCACTTCTGAAAAGCCCCATCTGTGACCGTGTGAGGCTTTGGGGGACGTCTAGATACAAGCCATAATGTGATATGGAAAAACAGAAAGTAGTGATTATCAGACATACTTGAAGGACAAATAATTCTTTGGTGATCACAGATAATAGAGTTAAATAAAAGTTTATTCAAAATTATCCAAATTTTTAACTCTACAGTGAGATAGGAGTTATTATAATTCCATGATAGAGAAAATAAAAGGCAAAAATTCAGATTTCTTGAATTTGTGGTGATGGTAGAAGATTTGAGGAGAAAGATTTAGTTAGAGCTAAGGAGAAGGAATGAAAATTAGAGGAGAGAAGATATTTTCAGTTATTACTTGCCATAGACTGAATTGTACTCCCCCAAATCTGTATATTGAAGCCTTGGTCCCTAACGTGACTGTGTTTGTAGATAGGGCTTTTAAGAGAAAAGTATGGTTAAATGAGCCAAAATGTGTGCTATGGTTTATATCTAGATGAACTCCACAAGCCTTGTGTACTCCCAGGTATGACTTTTGGGAGGTGAATGGATTACCTGGGCTCATATTACCTGGGAGTGAGGTCTGGCCAGAAAAGGAGGATCCCCGGGGGTGTGACCCGAAAGGGTTTATCTCCCTCCCCAGCTCCTCCTTTCTCTCTTGGTTCTTCCCAGCCACTATGATGTGAACAGCTTTCCTTGCAGCGGGACCCTCCACCTTGTCACTTCTGACCTGGAACCAGCCTACTGTCCACTTAAACCTCTACAAACTATGAGCCCTAAAAATCTGTTTCCCCTTTAATTTGTGGATATCAGGTATTGTGTCTCAGCAATGAGAAAGAGACTAAGACAGGGTGGGACCCCAATCCAATAGAATTGTTCACCTTATAAGAAAAGAAAGAGACATCTGAGATCTCTCTTTTTCTCCCTGAATGAATACAAGGGAGAAAAAGTCCCATTTGGACACAGAAAGAAGGTAACTGAGCAAGACAGGAACCCCTCACCTCTCACCCCACTGGCATTCTGATTTCAGGCTTTCTACACTACAGAACAGAAAATAAATGTCTGTTGCTTAAGACACCCAGGCTGAAGTATTTTGTTATGGTAGCCTGAGCTGTCCAATACCATTAAAATCCTATAGAAGAGTGAAGAGAGAGAAGAGCAGAGGGCCAAAATGGAATGTGTGTGTTGGGTTTAGAGATGAATACGGACTCAAATGTGAACAGACAAATTCGTACTGTGTGATGCAAGAGTATCTGTGTGCTGGGTAGGGAATGGGCTTGAACATGACTTCAGATTAAATCTTCTTTCCTTCCTATTGAGGAACCTTCTGGAATTACTTAATCCTTCTAGATTCCACTACTTTATGTTTTAAATAATGGAAATAAAAGTTTCCACCTATGTGATCATTTGAAATATGCATAGATTAATGCATACAAAATGCTTAATAGTGTGCATAACTCTTACCAGTAGTGAGGTATTATTTTAGGAACTATAGTGGGCATTCAACAGCATCAAATATACCAGATAGATCAATGCAAAGGACAATGAGGGAAGTCATTAAACTACATGAGAAGAATTTAGTGACCTTTGCGTGTTTCATTATTGTGTGCTGAAGTCTGCATATATATTTGGAGGTTTGTGAAAGGAAAAGAAAAGGACACTAGTTTGCAGAGGAAAATAAGGTGTGAGCAAAACAGAACTGAAAGTGATATAAGTGGATCAATTACAATTTAAAAATGAGGGCACATTCAAACAAAAATGAGAAGGAATAAAACATGAATGGACAGCTCAGGTAACTAACTATGGGGGAGGAACTCTGTCAAAAAAGCGGGGGAGAAATGTGCATATGTGTGGCAAAAGGGAAAGTTAAATCAATAGATGTTGCCAAACTGCACACAAAGCTTTGGATTCTAGTTCTGTATGACACCAGGAAAAACTGCTACATTAACATAAATAGTCTGTAGTGTATATTCTGTATTGACAGAGGAGTCATTGATCTGTTGTCTTTTTCTTGGCTCTGTCCTTGCTATTTGGGTGCACTCTGAAGCCCGAGAAGATTCACATAATGAGGTAGACACGGACAGTTCCATCTTTCTGGCTGACCACAGCCAGATGGAGGGGGAAGAATGAAACTAGGCTGGGGTCTTAGCAGAAGCCAAGATTATTGGTTTCTCTCATTCCCACTTCAAATTGCGCAGGAGTTGAAACCTGGTGGGTTAACTAATAGTCAACGTGGATAGCCCAGCTGGACCAAATCAACATGGTTCCGGGTGTGGAAGACCCACCTGAGCATTGTTGCCAACAGAATAAAAGGAGAATTGGAGGCAAAGATCATATGCTATTGATTTTTCTGGAAAAGCTTGCCATGGGTTTTCCTGATATGAACTCACTGCTTCTTCTTCTTTTTTTTTTTTTTTTCAGGGGAGCTCTGGTCTTTACTGCGAGCATCACTTCCTGGCTCCAGCACAGATCCTTCATCCCATCAGCACAGACTTTCTAACTTTCACCACTGGCCTTTGTGCCTTCCTGGTACAGATCCTTGATGCAGATTTGCACGAGACATCGATGTAGGCTCTAGGCCTCTGGCTAGACTTGTGGGGGACATTGCTTTAGGCTCCGAGACTTCAGCTGGACTTCTGTGGATCATTGCTGTGGGATCCAAGCCCTTGGCTGGATTCTTTGGGTCTCTAGCATGTGGATAGATCTCTTGTACTCCTCAGCATTTGACTTTTTGAGTGAATATTTTCAAATAGTTGTGTAAATTACGTGTCCTGTATTAAAATCTATTCCCTTGCAAACCCTGACTACAACAAAAAGCATTTTTCTTTATGACTCCATTGGAGATATCTTAACAAGAATATCTGAAGTACATGCATAACATTAATATTCCTAAGATGCTGTTACTTAGGTATGTTCTTTCCCTTTTGGGGGTAATATTTTTCTATTCATCCTGTGTGTGCTGCTTTGCGCATTTGCATTCACAAAGCCCCTTATTTGGTGAAATCCTTCTTTTGGAACATGTACCCGTCAGTTAATTATCTACTTACAAAGGAGGGATGATAATGTCATTGAAAACCACTTATTCTTGAGGATTTACATAAATGCAGAATGCAAATAAAATAACATTTTCTGAATAGTTCCCTGCACGTGTTCGCTTGGGGAGGAAATAATAATTGACTGTAGATTTTTGGTAGTTTTTTTTTCCTTCTGTAGAATATAGGTAATTTAGAGTGACTAATCCAGCTGTCTTTATTCAATTATCTGGCTTGCTTCTGACCAGAATCATATTAAGGGTAGAAATCAGAGGGGACATTATAATTAGAAAAGCAAAGGAAAACTGTATAGTGCTTTGTTTATTAGAATTGGCTTTTGCTGTTGGAGAAACTGCATGGTGACATTTTAACTTTAGAGTCAAACCAGTAACCCTCATCTAGGCGTAATGCTTTGACTATGGAAGGAAATGTTTCTCTTTGCCCTTCTACCAGTTTCTTACTGCAAATCTGCTTTGCTCTTTGCCCCACTGTGTGGATTCACATCACTGTGGACAAATAGCTACTGATTATTTTACATGGGATGGGGGAATGAATAAAAATTTTTCTATACAGTTTTTGGAGGCCAAAAAAGATGGCTGAAGTGTATGAGCATGTTAAAGCCCATGTTGTCATCTGGCCCCACCTCTGTTACTTTTTAAATCTTAACACAAACTGCCACCTCATAGGCGATCTCTGCAGAGTCAGAGGTTTCTGAATGAAAGACTCAGTCTTAACATTTCTGCAGACATATTGTCTTAAGCACATTTTATGAGTCCTGGTAAGCAAGTGGGTGTTCCCAGTTAGTCATGGGTTGATCCTTTGAAAGGAGTGAACTAAAACTAGGGGATGATTTCTCCCTAAACTACCGCTGGACTGAATGCTAAAAGGGAGAAAAAGTGGCTAGGGAATCTGACAGTCTGC